TTCCTTCCTTCCTTCCTTCCTTCCTTCCTTCCTTCCTTCCTTCCTTCTTTCCTTCCTTCCTTCCTTCCTTCCTTCCTTCCTTTCTTCCAGTTAGAATGCAGAATTGCAAGCAAACTGCCCATAGTCAGGAGTTCGATTCTGACCAGCTCAAGGTTGACTCAAACTTCTGTCCTTCCGAGGTCGATAAAATGAGGACCCAGATTGTTGAGGGGCAGGAGGCTGACTCTGTAAACCGCTTAGAGAGGGCTGTAAAGGCACCGTGAAGCGGTATATACGTCTAAGAGCTATTGCTATTGCCACTGAGAGCAAGACCCTTCTGCTGCAGACACCTCAGTGGCCGACGTGCCCCACTCACTTGGAGCTGCTGGTGGCTCTCGTGCAGGGCCAAGTGCAGGTAGACCACGATGTGATGGCGTTGGGGCAAACCTTGGCTCAGCCGTGGGGGATACACTGACTGCAGGGGGAGACAAGACAGTGTAAAATGGGATTGCAATAGCGCTGAATAGCTGAAATCGGGTGGAGGAGGAGGGTGGAAGTTCTTGTGGGCTGGTTTCTAAATGCTTCGTTACAGAGCAATACAAGACCCAGTCTGATAGAAGAGCAATAGAAGAATTATTGGCCAGGCTGCCACCGGCCGTGCTCATCAAGGCCTGGCACTCCACAAGCAATTCCATCCACCGATGCATCGACCCACCACCAGCCTATAAAACCTCCAGAATTCAAATCAGTCGCACAACCAACCAGCGATAACACCGATCCTCAACCAACCCACGCAAACCCCCAGTGGTGGGATTCAATTTTTTTTTATTACTGGTTCTGTGAGCTTGGCTTGGTGGGTGTGGCTTGGTGGGCGTGACTTGGTGGGCATGGCTTGGTGGGCATGGCAGAGGAAGGATACTGCAAAATCCCTCCCCACCCCACTAACCTGCTTTCCAGCTCCGTTCTCCTGTGCAGGGCAACCAAAGAAGACCCAGCCGATCAGCTGGGACTCGGGAGGCAGAGAATAGATGGGAGCGGGGCCAGTCGGAGGCAGTATTGGCCGGTTCTCCGAACTACTCAACATTTCCACTACCGGTTCTCCAGAACCGGTCAGAACCGGCTGAAGACCACCTCTGCGGCGGGGGTTTCCCAAAGGAGAGGGAGGGCTTGCTTGGTCCTTATGTGGGATGCCAAGCTGCAGATACCAGAGGGGACATTCACACATGCTTCTTCTGGCATCCTTGCTACTAAGGATTGGGGTTCAACTCATCAGTCTGAGCCAGTGGTGGGATTCAAATTTTTTTTACTACCGGCTCTGTGGGCGTGGCCTGGCTTGGTGGGCGTGGCTTGGTGGGTGTGACGGGGAAGGTTCCTGCAAAATCCCCCTTCCCTCCCCACCCCACTAACCTGCTTTCCAGCTCCGTTCTCCTGCGCAGGGCAACCAAAGAAGAGCCAGCCAATCAGCTGGGACTCGGGAGGCGGAGAATAGATGAGGGCGGGGCCAGTCAGAGGCGGGATTGGCTGCTTCTCCGAACTACTCAACATTTCCACTACCGGTTCTCCAGAACCGGATGAAGACCATGTCTGCAACCGCGTCAAAACCAGCACTTCACCTCCCAATCACCCTCACCCGACCTGACCTCTCCATCACAAGACCCTCACCTGATGTGAGCCACAGCTGCGTCATCACAAGACCCATCTTGGGGGTCCTCTTACCTCCCAGAGGGCCAGCAGTTCCCAGCATAATTGCCCATCCTTCAGGTGCAAGCCAGTCTCTTCCTGCAGCTCCCGCAGCCCGGCATCCAGCAGCTGCGGACAAGGAAGAAACAAGGGTGGGGAGAAGAGGCAGCTTCCTGAAATCGGTGGGCATCGGGGCAGTTCCGACTCAGAAGAGAGCCTCTCACCACAGGTTGTGGGGGAACCCCTCTTCTAACCCACTTGGAATCCTGAAGGCCTGGTGGGAGAAGGCCTGAAGGATTCAGGGAAGGAATTCTGTCTTGGCAAAAGGCTAAAAAAAAAGGAAGGCAGTCTATGTCAGAATGAGACAACTCGCCGTGGCCATTTTGCCATGGGACAAAAGTTACACTAATAATCAAAGAAATGGTGGAATAGAATAGAATAGAATTCAGAATAGAATAGCATAGCATAGCATAGAATAGAATAGAATTCTGAATAGCATAGCATAGCATAGCAGAGAAATAGAATAGAATAGAATAGAATAGAATAGAATAGAATAGAATAGAATAGAATAGAATAGAATTCAGAATAGAATAGAATAGCAGAGCAGAGCAGAGAAATAGAATAGAATAGCAGAGAAATAGAATAGAATAGAATAGAATAGAATAGAATAGAATAGAACAGAACATGAACAGAACATGAATTCTTTATTGGCCAAGTGTGATTGGAGACATGGAATTTGTCTTTGGTGCATAAGCTCTCAGTGTACATAAAAAAAATCATTTGTCAAGAATTTAAGATACAACACTTAGTGATATAGGCTACTAATAAGCAATCAAATCATGTTAGAGAAAAAATAAAACAATATAAATTGTAAAAATACAAGCAACATGGTTATAGTTATAAGTTGGATGTAATAGGAAGGATGAGAAGAAGAAGAGTAATACAGTTTGACTAAGCAGTTTGACAGTGTTATGGGAATTATTTGTTTAGCAGAGTGATGGTGTTTGGGGAAAAACTGTCCTTGTGTCTAGTTGTTCTGGTGTGCAGGGCTCTATAGCCTTGTTTTGAGGGAAGGAGTTGAAACAGTTTATGTCCGGGATGTGAGGGGTCTGTAGATATTTTCACAGCCCTCTTTTTGACTCGTGCAGCATACAGGTCCTCGATTGAAAGCAGATTGATAGTAATTGTTTTTTCTGCAGTCCTAATTACTCTCTGAAGTCTGTTCGTCTTGCTGGGTTGCAGAACCCAACCAGACAGTTACAGAGGTGCAGATGACAGACTCAATCATTCCTCTGCAGAACTAGCAGCTCCTTGGGCAGTTTGAGCTTCCTGAGTTGGCACAGAAAGAACAAGAATCATTAAAGGAAAGGAGGCCAAAGGAGGGACAGAATGAAATGCGAATGGCAACAATAAAAATGTTTTTTTTAAATTTATTTCAAATAATTAAATTTAATTGTTAAATTGTCCAGAGGAGAGTTGGGCCCATTCTGACACAGGCGGCCTTCATTTCTTTTTTTTTTAACCTTTTGCAAAGACAGAATTTCTTCCCATCAGGATTTGAGGATTCCAAGTGGGTTAGAACAGGACCACAACCCATTGGCCACAGGCCCCCAGGTAGCTGCGCACAAGCCCCACTTGCTTGTGAGTCCCCACATCATGGACTCTCACAGCCCCACTCGTGTGAGCAACGGGTGTTCACACACACACACACACACACACCCTTGCCCCTCCCACAAACCATCTTCTCTTTCCCCGCTCCACTCCTTTCGGGCCAGCAACCTGGAAAGGTTGGGGAAGTCTGGGTTAAAAGCCTGTAAAATACTGGCCAAATTTTCTGTTCAATATATAAGAAATTATGAGCACCCGTTGTGAGCCATGTCAGATGGCTTGGAGCCTGGGCTTGGCTTAGGGCAGGGGTGTCCAACCTTGGCAACTTTAAGACTTGTGGACTTCAACTCCCAGAATTCCTCAGCCAG